ATTTTTACACTTTTCTGCTGGATGGTTAAGACCAAGATATAGCAAGACCTATATACCAAGATGTGTAACTTTGGTATCTGATAAGGTCAGCCAAGTACTCTCAGGATTTATCCTGTAGCCCTGTACCGCCTTTTGTACATCCTTTTGTCAGTGTCTGACATGAGGATGAGTCACAGCCATTGCTTGAACAATTTGCTCTCTGTGAAGACTTGAGAAAATGTTTTTTCTCTTCATGTGACTCTCTCCAGGCTCACTTTAGATCATCGAACACATTCTGTGGCTCCATAATCTTCTTGATCAGAAAATTTGGAGCACAACTGAGTTACATGTTGGGTAACAATATTATTAATGACAACCATGTTTAACATTCATAGAGTACTTATTCTTTACCAAGTAGGACTAAACCTTTTAGATCTACTGGGTCATCTAATATTCATAGTTCTATGTGGCAGATAACTACTACTATTCCCATTTTGTGGAGGATACAAATGAAGAACAAAGATGCTAAATTGCCTGAGGTTGCAATGCTTCAGCTGTTACAAGTCACCAAGCAACTACTTCACATCATCTTATCCGTCCCAAAATACCTTCCAGGCAGCTGGAGTTGGTGCTTTACCTGCCTACAAAGCCTTCTTTCTTCCTACATGATGGTGTACTTAGACCACAAACTTATTGCAATAATAACAAATGTAACATAATGAATACTGAAAGTACGTGTCAGGCAAAATAGTAAGCATTTTCGATCCAAGCATTTTATAACTAAGATCTCATTTTGCTCTTAACAGTACTGCGAGTCAGGAAACCCTGTTTCAAAGTGAAAGAAAACCATTTTTTTTTTTTTTTTTAGAAATGGAGGAAACAGTGTTTAGCTGTTTCCCTCAAAAAAGATGTTTTAAAGACCCAGCTCCTAGGGTATCAAAATGTGACTTTAATTTGTAATTCAGAATGTCATAGACGTAATCAGTTAAGCTGACTTCACCCACCCTGGAGTGGGCCAGCCCCTTACTCCAGTGGGACTGGGGTTCACCAACCAAGGAATGCCCAACGCCACCAGAAGCTAGAATAAGCAAGGCTCTGGCTTGACCTCGGCCTGTGTACACCTTGAATTCAGACTTTACATCTCCTGAACCGTGAGGAAAAAAACAAAAACGGACCCGTTTTAAGCCACGGACTTTGTGGCAGTTTGTGACTTTGTTCTAAGTAACTGATACAAGTGGTTTAAATGTGAAATGAAAAACCATTATATTAAAATTCTGAATAAAGACTCCACAAAGAGTATCTTTAAAATGTTTAAGAGGGATGTTAATATTGTGCCAGCATATGAAAAACTGTAATATAAAAGTGAGTACAGATCCCTGGAGGGCTTACTTTACTCTGCAATTTTTATGGGAAGTGTGGCAATCAATTCAATCAGTAATTTCAACATTAAGAAAGACAGTCAAATGCACACACATTATCTTTTAAGTAAGAAGAGGATTTTTTTTTTTTTTTTTTTTTTCGGAACTGGGAATTGAACTCATGCCCTTGCACTTGCCAGGCCAGCGCTTATTCTACTGAACCATCTCCCTGGCCCCCAAGAAAAGGATTTTTTAAAGGCAACCTTGAGTTTTATCCTTGGGCTTTCAGAAGTACCATGAGTTCTTCTCTATGATTGGGAAGACATCAATATCAATATATGCTCTGTGTGAGTGTGTGTGTGCGTGCGCGCGTGTGCGTGTGTACAGTTCTGAACTGGATCTCTGAGCTGTTAACTATGGCTTTGCGGGACAGTGCTTTCTTCTCCCTGCCTAGTTTGAGAAAGGATAAGTTAGAAACCATCTGACAGCAATTTTCTGATATCTTCTACCTGTAATAGCATATAGGTGGACATACACCCCTACCCAAAAGCCTCTGAGGTTCTAGTGGAATAAACCAAATTGAACCTCCAACTGGTAGACATCCAGGGAAGATACCATTTCCCACTCTTCTGGTAACATTGCTCAGATCAGCGAGAGAAAATTATTGCCTTGAAAGAATTATACCAGGTGATCATAAGGAGAGTCAAAATGTACAGGCATCGCCTGATTTCCTAAGTATCACTGTTATGGTTTGTGTCTAGTTTTCCCCCCAAAGACTCATGCAGTCATGGGGCAGGGACTTCTAGAGTTTAAGATTAACTCATGATCCACTGGGATTATGGGTGATCCACTGCGATTAAAGATTAAAGGTCTTAGTACGGCTGAGATTATGGGTGTGAGTGCTACACCCAACCTGGGGTAGAGAGCCTAAATGCAATATAAGAGAGACAGAGACACAGACTGTCTCTCTCTCTCTGTCTGTCTCTGTCTCTGTCTCTGTCTCTCTCTCTCTCTCTCTCTCTCTCTCTGTTGCCATTGTTGTTCCACCATCATGAACTGGATGCTTTCTGCCCTGTGCCACCCTGCCTTGGAGCCAGCCAAGTATGTACTGTGAACTCCAGTAACTGAGCTAAACAAACCTGTCCTTTCTTCATTTTGGGTGTCAGATATTTGCCCCAGCAATGAAAGAAGAGTAACTGAGACAATCACCATCTCTAAGTATTACCTTTTCTTTTGAATCTTTTTTTTTTTTAAATTCAGGCCCTTGTGCTTGCCAGGCAAGTGCTTATTCTACTGAGCTATCTCCCCGGCCTTCTTTTGAATCTTATCAACCTTAATAAATGGAAAGACGGCTTGTGCCCTTAAATATTGGTATCTCTGGGCTGGTGTTTCAGAGTATGTCATGGGCTAACGGGCCTGGGTTTGTACTCTAATGCTGCCACTTCCTAGATGTTGACTTTAAGCAAATTCTTTCATCTACTGGGTACCTCTTTTGCAACATGAAGCTACTGCTCTCTACTTGAGGAATTGTTAAAGAGACAGTGATATAAGTATCTATAAAGTATCTATTAAAGATGCTCAATAAATGGCCAACTCTTACCTGACTGATCCCACTGAGTTATTCTGCTGCTAGAATAACTCCAGGTAAAACAGGAAATGTGGCTTGCCTCAGGTCACATTTTGTTCTGACTTCTTTACTCAGCAAATCTTACTGCTATGTTCAGTTGAGCATTAGGCTAACCGAGGAGGCAGTGTCCTTCAGGAAATACACATCTCACTGGTGAAGGCCATAGGTAATGAATAATTTAAGTCCAACTAGTATATGCTTTGTGAGAAAACATCAAGGCTACAGGTCCTCATGCAGTGAGCACAACACAGTTACCAGGAGCACGAGGTCAGGAAAGCACAAGCCCCTTCCTCTGACTTTCCAGGGTTCTCTCTGTATGCATCAGTTGCCAATTTCAATCAAAAGTACTCTACGTCTTTCAGTCTCCAACTGGGATCTCTTCTCAGTCCAATTTTCACTCAATCTACTCATGATCTATCTGAGGAAACCCAGATGGCTCTGGATTGCTAGTCCATTGTTGAGGCTTCCAATCAAGGAGTCCAGAGTCCCTGGGAGGCCTGCTCAAAGGGCCATGAAATATGTCAATCAAACCTCCTGTTCAGTCTAAAACCTGAAATGCTGAAGGCTAGGAATTATGGAGCCAGCAGCCCAGAAGGTGTAAAAACTAATTACATTTTTTTTAATTTATGAAAAAGTCAGTACAAATCAGTCATGATCTGGATTAATCCTCATACCAAATCCCATTTTCATTTGGAGATAAAACAATTCTTAAAATCGAGTTTACATAGTTTTGATTTGTTTTGTTTTTCTGATTTTGTGTGACTGGGGATTGAACCCAGGTTCTTTTCACATGCTAGCTAAAATGCTGAGCTATACTCTCAGCTCCTTTAAAATATTACTTTGAGGGAAAGTGTCACTGGGTTGCCCAAACTGTCTTCAAATTTCTGATCCATTTGCCTCAGCCTCCTGAGTAGCTGGGTTGAGTGGCACTGGGTACCATGCCTGGCTCTCCGAATTGGGTTTAACAAGGTTCTAACATTTAGGAACTAGTGACCGTGTTGTTTAATCACACAGGTATCAGTCACTTTATTTTAAAGTGCTGTTATGACAATGAGCTAGGCTGGTGAAATGTATAGTTGTGTCCACTCAGAAAACCCTTAAAGAGTTAAGTTTTATTATTGTTTCTGTTTAATCATTGTGCAGGGTTACACTGCTACGTGAAATTTCGATACCAAGCGGACGGAGATTACAGTACTTGAGACCCCTTTGTGCTCCTGAGCTACACAGTCTGAGAGGTTGACTGGCCTCCAACTACTCTAGGGAAGGCAGGTCCTGCCAGGCAGAGGGCAGATCAGCCCCGACCCGGTACGGACGCTCCCTCCGGCCCCACGCCCCGAAGCTGGCCTCGGCTCGGGCTCCAGGTCAGCTGCCCCTGGCAGGCAGGCAGGCAGGCGCGGGGCCCACGATGCCCGCTCCCCCTCCGCCCCGCCTCGGTCTCCCAGCAGCGCGCAGACCAGAGACTCCTTCGGGGCAGGGCTCGCTGCTCAGCGCAAGTCCCTACAGGGAGGCGCGTGGGTGGCAGGAGCACAGGGCCGCAGGCACTGCCTTTGGAAGAGCCCGCGTCGGGGCAGGAGCTTGTCTTCTCCTGCCCCATCTCTCGGATGGGAAAGCTGAGGTTCCGAGAGGCCCTTCTCCCAGGAGTCCCGGCTCTTTTGAGGTTACCGAGGTCCTGCACTCCTGGAGGTCACGGTTCAGTGAAGGAGTTGCGACCTTGGGACGGAGTCGACCCGCGAGTTCCGGCTTGGCTTTCGACTCGCTGAGACAACTCGGGCAGAGCCCTTGCGGTCCTGGGCCTGAGTTTCCTCTCGCGCGCGAAGAGGAAGAAGCCTGCTTCGGGTGTTGCTAAAGCCTCCAGCCAGGGAGACTCGGCCCTCAGCCACCTCCTGCTCCTCACCGGGCTCTCAGGACTACAAGTCCCAGCATGCCTCGGGAGGGGGGGGCGGGCACAGTGACAGACAAGCGGTTCTGCCAATTGGCGCCCGAGGAGGGGGAGCGCCGCGGCGCAGGCGCATCGAGCGGCGGGCGGTGGGCTGGCTGCGGTGGACGTGTCGGAGCCACGGGCGGTCAGGTAGGGGGCGGGAAGGAGGGTCCGGGACCCGAGTCTGCGGCCGTGGTCGCTGGCTGTGGCTGAGCGGCAGGGCGGGGCGGGGGGTCGCTTGCCCGAATGGCAGGGTCTGAGGCCGAATCTGAGAGGCAGGGCTGGGTGGGGGTGGGGATGGGGCTGCGGGGCTGCTGGGGAGGGATTGCACAGAGCTGAGGAGCTCCGAGGAGCTGCAGCAGGGGGAGGGGAGCAAGGGGCTCTGCGAAGATTCTCAGCGGCAGCGTCTCGGGACGTTATGAGGTAATGTAGGGGCCCTGAGAAGACAAGGTGCAGCCGCTGGACACAAAAGGGAATCGGAGGCGTCTGCAAGGGTCACGGTGCACAATTTCAGATGAATGATGATTTGGGGAGGCCATGAGATTTGAAGTGAGAAATCTCGGGAGCTTGGAGGAAATCTGGGGGCGATAGGGATTTGGAGAGGAAGACAAGATCTGAGATCAGAGGAAGCAGAATCTCATTGCTAAAGATAAAGGGATTTCCAGAGCAGGATCTGGGGGGATCCGTAGAAAGCATTATGCTGTCAGCCAAAAGAAGAAACCTGGCAAAGGTTTTTGAAAGCATCACTGGAGGTTGGAGGGAGGAAGGAGTAGGGTTTGAAGGCGGCACAGCGCCTGATAGAATGCGGGGGATGGGGACACAGATGGAGACCGGCAGAAATCTGAGGTGTAGGATTGGGCCATTGAGCTGGGATGCAAGATTGAAGGCTACAGAGATTTGGAAAAAGGATTAAAGAATATGTCAGAGAGGTTGGGAGACACATGAATGAATAATAACTCAAAAGATCGAAATTCTAAATTGCAAGAGGGTAGGAACAGGGTTTGGAGAAGTTGAATGATGGGGTAAAGATTCCTTAACTAGGCTGTGAAATTTAAGTGCACTTGTGGGTCAGTTTCTTAGGCTACTAAAGGGATTTTCTTGACCTCTGCGTGGGAATCAGGAGTAGTTCTGGCAACCCAAAGACCTAAAAGTAATCTATGAAACTATGTATAAGTGCATGAAGTTTAACAGAGTTCAGGGGTTTAGGAATAAAGTAGACATTCTCTGTGAAAGGCAGAGTCTTCCTACTTATTGATCAAGATCCTTTATCTGGATATAGGCATGATATTGCCACTTGCTCTGCTCCATCCTACTCTTTCCAGTGCCTGCTGAAAGTGTAAGTCTTTAGAGAAGAGGATGGTCAAAACTAGAGAGGTAAGATAGGAAACCACTCAAGGTCATCTGCTACTCCTTCTTGTCTCTTTACACCCCAAGTCATAATAACAGGTGTATGAGACCTGTGTGAGGAGGCATGGAATATTAATCCCATAAGGTTTATTATAGCTCAAAGAGGCAGTGGTTCTGTGAATGAAATGTTTGTGTTGTGACACAAACAGAAAGGGGGTTGGCTCATGTATTGTGCATTCAGACCTGTGCTATGTTTTAAAGCAGTAAGTCTTAACAAGGAGGGATTTCATCCCTCAGAGGACATTTCTAGTTGTCACAGGTGGGGAGGTTCCACTGGCCTCTAGTGGGGAGACACTGTTATCTTATAATGCATAGCACAGCCCTCACAGCAAGGAATTGTGTGACCCAGAATGTCAATAATGCCAAATTGAGTCACCTTGCTCTACAGTCAGGTGCTCTGGGTTCCAATCCTGGCTCTGTGTTGTCCTGACTTTGTAGTCTTGAATGAACTAAACTTTTGGATGCATTGAATTAATGGTATGATACTGTTGTGAGGATTTAGTGAACCAAATCTGAATACCTAGTGTTGAGTGAACAGTAAGTGCTCACATTTCAGAACTTTTTAGTTTTTTAATATCACTTTACTGTTTTTGTTTTGTTTTCTAAAAGATGGGAGTTCTTCGTATATCACTGAGTTGCTCGGTCTGCTTCTCATTCAGTTTATAATAGCCTATTTAGAGCTATATCTATATGTCAGAGTTAAGCTAATACCCAGATTCTCATAATGCACATTCTCACCTTTGTTGGTCTTTTATTTGAGTCTTTTCAGTCTTATTTTCTCAGCCTGTTCTCTTAATAGAAAGGAGAATGGTCCAGTGAATATTATTACATATATACTGTAAGCAGATAAATCTCTCTCTTTAGGTAGAGAGGAGCCTTGCACCTTTTTTTTGCCTTGTTTTTAGACCAGGAGCAGTGGGATAGGTAAGTGGAGGAACTTAAGGATAGCAGGTAGATGAGTCCAGGGCCTGTAGGATGAGGCCACTGACTCCAAAACACACCATGTAGTACACATCAGGCTGAAGGCAAGCATACTTTGAAGGAGAGTTAGTACTGTTCTGAATGATCTCTTTTGGGATTCCTTCCTCTGTGACAGAACAGTAGCACTGGCTCTGTCAGCAGAACAACTAGGTATAGTGTTGTCAAAGTTGATTTAGACTTAGCTAGAAGAGCTACACTCATGCTTGACAATAATATGTAATAAGAATTGAGTTATCCTCATAATCAGAAGCTTGAAGCTCAAACTCTTTGCTTCCTAATTTTCTGTCTGACCTTGGTCAAACACTTGTTCTGTCAGCCTCAATCTATAAAAAAATACAAATAGTTGTATTTACTGAGGGCTTAATAGCTGTATTAGCTCAGTAAATCCTGGCCCCAACTTTGCCAACAATCTTAAGTATTATTTTGTAATCAGAAAACTAGTAAATTGAGTAACTTAGCCTGGGCTACATAGTAAGGGGTTAGAGAGGAATCAAGCCCTTGTTTTATTTGACTCTTAGATTACATCATGCTAACTTTATTAGATCTTTTAAAATTCCCTATCCTGACGTCTACAGAGTGGTTAGAAGCCAAAAGTGTACAAGGCTCTTGAAATGGATCATCTTCCGTGCACACTGATACATCTCCTTTGTGACGTTCCCTCCATTATGTCCTGTATTAGAGAAAAGTGAGATTTAAGTTATTCCTTGATGTGGTTACCAGCTCCTCAGCCAGACTATGCCTGGAGGGAGCGGTACTCTAATCAGCTAGGTAAGTGTAATATATTTATGTCAGTGTGGCTTTATGGCTGGTTTCATTTACACATGGACATTTTGGTTAGTGTTTTACTAAACACTACTTTGGTTTAGACCTTAGATAGGTCACTTTTTGATGAACATTGTTTTCCTTGTAAAAAGGAATAACATTTTTCACAAAGTTTTGACAATAAGAACAATGTACAAAAAGTTTTGGATACTTAGCAAATAAAAATCATTCTATGAGAGTTCTCAGTTACAGGATAAAGGTAAAGCCGAAGAAAACTGAAGTCTTGTCTTGCCACATTGTTGATAACCATAAGTGTTTTTCAAATTCCCATCTCCTCCTATATTATTCTCAGTATCTGCTTCTTAATCCTTTAATCAAAAATCTCATGATTAGGGCTGGAGATGTAGCTCAGTGGTAGAGGGCTTGACAAAGAGGCCTTGAGTTTATTCTTAGTACTGCAAAAACTAGAAAAAACTTAAGATTAAATGATCACATATGCAGCGAAATGAACTGTAAGAGTTGAGTGGTTGAATTAGAAGTCCCTTGGCAAAAGACTTGGATGTTTTTTTTTTTTAACTTTGTTTTAGATCCTTTGAGTCATTTTGACAGTATAGATATCATCAAAATGTCTGTGATGATTACAGGAATGTTGTGGGGTTGTTTTTTTGTTTGTTTGTTTGTTTTTGTGGTTTTTTTTTTTTTTTTTTTTTTTTTTTTTTGTATTGGGGATTGAGTCTAAACTACACCCCTTTCCAAGCAAAACTTTTTTAGTTCTTTCAATAAGTTTTCGAGAAAAATAGCCAAAACAGTGAAACATTTTTTTCCAGTAAGCTCTGTTGTTGTTTTAATCTGACCTTGATTCAGCTTAACCAAAAGTTTCCTTCTGATTTGTTTAAATGTCCCATACTGATACAACTTGGGGGACATGGCAGTATCTTCCTTGGCTGTGTGCAGGTATTTTAAATGTCCTGACTGGGTAAATATCAGGTGATAATCTCACTGACTTACTGAAAACCAGTCTTGTTAGTGAGTGACCTTTGAGGCATGGAAGTTGTTAAGTTCTTGATCAGCATTCTGTTAAAAATGCATGAGGAATAGATATAGAAAGCTGACATGAAAAGTAATAAACCATGCAAAAAAAAATAAAAGTCAAACCAGTAGAGTACATTACTAGAAGAATCAAACTTGTGAAAGAAAGCATAGTAGCTTACTTTTCTAGTTTAAATGTGAAAGCGCTTTTTCTGTACATTTCTTTCTCAAAAATATCAGTCTTTTCCACAGGAGGACTCATAGCAGATGCTCAGTAAAGACTATTTTTTTTCCCCCAGAAAGCTAAATGTCTTTTATTGGGGTAATGAGCCTCGTTGGGGCAGTGAGCCTCAGGGTGAGTCAAGGGCTTAGACTGTTTTTAATTAATCAACTTAGGTTCTCCAGTTTTGCTCTTGATCCAAGCCACCATGAGTACAGGTGAGTGAGCCACTGATACAGTGCAGAAAATAGAGACAATGAAGTGGACACAGTTAGAAAAAGACCATGTGACTCAGACTTTAGGACTGAGTGAGCACTTGAAACCTGGGATTGTCTCTAACTTGTTTTTAAGATAAGGTTAAACAGTCTCCAAGAAGACTGAATTTTTATTATTTAAATTATACAATACTATAGGTGCAGCCGGCCTATTGAAAAGTCCCTCTTCATTTCTTATAGGCTGGGTGATAGGGGGTGGCAGTGGCAGCTGCTACCACTGCCAATAATAACAAGGAATAATAAAAAATTGTGTTTCTGCACAGCTATTACTATGCCTGGCTTGGAGCTGTAGTAAGTGTTTGATACATATAAACGCAGGCTTTACAAAAATAGCCATGCAAGGAAGGTACTGTTTTAGAGACTCTTTTCATAGACAAACTGCAAGCTAGGTTAAATTAAATAACTTGCCCAGATCCCCAGCGTTAGTTTGGATTTGGATTCAGAATGCTTGCTGACTGCTGTCCACTGACTTCGTCTGTGCAGTACTGCTCGCTCCTAGCTCCTGCCTTTTAGCCCTAGTTCTGCCGAATGATTTGTGGCGTTCGTTTCCCTTGTCTGGTCTTCGTTTGCTCCTGTATATTGCTCTTTGAGATCACTTCATGTCTACTTTTAGACACGTAACAGTCTGATGGTAACAGTCTTTAATCCTGCTGGAAGGAGCTACCGCAGCTTCCTTTGAGTCAAGAGAAGCTGTGAATTGAGTTGCCTATAAGCTTCTAGTCTGAATGTTTAGCATTCTTAATCCAGTTCCTCCAAAACTGACCCGTCCTTTTATTATTCTTTATATGCCATTCCTTTCCATTTAAAGAAAAATTACTCATTCTTTCCAACTTTAGTTGTAAACTCAATTCTTTGTTAATACTGGTACTGATGGTCATTATTAATGTTGTTCCTGATTGTTACAGTTATGGTAAAAAGCATCCTTTCATTGTATACTCATCAGTATCAAGCTAAGTAATTCATATGTGTTATCCCCAGTCATCACAGTAATATTTTATAAATTAAAAGAAACAGGTGTAGTGTAGAGAAGTTAATAACGTGCTATTTAACCCACATCTTTAAAAGAGCATTAGGACTTATCTGAGTTCTGCCGGACTGCAGAGTTTATGTTGCTTTTGTTTTGTTTGTTCTTTGCCTTCTCTACTACCCTAATTACTTATTTCATGGACTGGGAACAACCTGGGAGTGTCATAAGAGAAGAGACCAGGCTGGATTAATATTACCAAAATTTCCTGAGTCTTAGAGCAGCTAAAGCAGACACAGTTGAAGGAGTATATTCTTACATGGAGCCCAAGAGAGGTGCTGATGGCAGTATGTGTAATAGAAATCATTGTATCAAAGAGGTACAGGAAGGGCGTACCCTGGGGGTTAGAGGAGGGAAGTGATTAAATCTTGACAGTACAAAAGATGCAACAGAAACGTGTAACAAAATTATAAATACTCTGGTCGCTGTTTCTCTCTGGTTGGTCACAGATCCTAGCTGGCAGAAAATGGACAGCTTAGTGAAGACTCTGGGTGATAAGACAGTTGTTTTGTTTTGTTTTGTTTTTTCCACTTGTGTCATCTTTGCAGGGAAACATACCAAACTGAGCTTCCCCTTGAGTCATTTTTAGTATTACCAGTTACAGTCGCACGTACTCCTGTAGAGCAGAGAAGCTGCGTCTGCCCGTTTCTTCTATTCCAAGCTAAGAACCCTCTGAAGGTTCTTGTTTTTAGGTCATGATTTGGACTTTTTCCAGGTCTCAGACTCTTTCTGCCTGGTTCTTTAATAATCCGAGCTTACGTTTCCCTAGCAAAGCACAGCAGCTTCTGGGCAGACGTTTTTCCCATCCTCAGAAGACCTGGTGTGCTTTAGACAGGTGAGATAATTTTGGGTGTGGATGTCAGTGTAGTAAATTCATTTTTAAAGCTGATGGTTTAGACAGAGAGGTAGGAAGCTTTTTAATTGAAAGAGGTGATATGATATTCCTGAAAGCGAGGGAAAGAATTTGCTGGTACTGTATTTTTACAAGTTGGCAGACTTGTTTAATTAGCTGATCTGCAGTGCCAGCTCTGGGAAGAACAGATGTCCCTGCACACTGTAAGGTACCAAGCTCTGGATCCAAACACCAAATGTTGCCCTCAGTCTGTTGTCCCAGATGATAGAAGAGACAGTGAAGCTATTGGTTAGAATTGAGAAGGTTTGCACTGATACTGATTTACTTTGTTAGATTTCTATACTGTTGCCCACCCCCCTACATGAGCTATAAGAATTTAGCCTTTACAGATACCCACATGAAGCATTTTGGATTCATGATATGTGCTGATTTGTGATTTTGTGGAGACATGGGCTTGAGTCGTATTGTTCTTTTTTCATGAGAAGAATGAGAATTGTTTTATAAAGACAGCATTTCTCAGGGCCTTGTCTATTGGTCTAGAGAACACTTAGAGGAAGTGTTACATGACAGTTAAAAAAAAAAAGCTTGGAATTTAATACTGGGTTAAACAATGAAGATATCTGTTCTGCGTCGTACCACTGTTTGCTGCTATTTGTGAAAATGCAGGGTACCTTTACTCAAGGTAAAGAAGGTAGAAATTAGTTGTAATATGTATCTCCACATGTGCATTGCCTTTTTGTACCACTAGAAAACGTTGATGATATGAACAGAGGTTTCCTTAGCTAGCTCGTTCTTCTTTAAACTAAGCTGACTGATCCTCCACCTCCTCCTTCATGTAGTGTGTCGTCTGTACATGATGAGAGTGCACAGATGCAGCTGTAGGGTTTGCCCCTCGGAGGCTGTGTTTAGCCATGTGCCTCACCTTGCTAGATACATTTGTTCTTATTTATTTATTTTAGCAAAGGGTCTACAGGGTATGCAGGATCTCACTATTAGATCAGACTTGTAGTCATCTACCTGTTTACAGCCTCCCAAGAGCTGGGATTACAAGCATGCGTGTGCTCCACACCCAGTCTCAGCTATCTCAGTGTGCCCCCAGGGGATCAAACCCCTGCCCCCTGCGCCTGCTTGCAGGCACTTTGATTGGCTGAGTTACGTGGCCGGCCCTTATTCGTTCTAATTTGGCATGTACATTGACGGTGACGCAAGGCTGCCGAGCAGTGAGCTCTCGCCAGGTCAGATCCATGAGCGTATGTGAGGAGAGTGGGAGGATTCCAAGCCAGACGTACAATGTCTTAATAAGGAACTACTGCTTTTAAAACCATGCAGCCTCGAATGTTTGGCCCTTGTAGCTCTTCACGCCCTCCTCATAATCTACTCAGTTTCCAAGTCTTACTGATTACATTTCTGGAATAGCGGCCAAATAGATCTTCTTTCTATTAATATCTGCTCCATAGGTCAGACTGCTGTTATCCGCCCCAGGCTGTTTTGCAGTCACTTTCACACTAGCTGCTCTGTGTTCTCTCTCCTCACCCGTTCTGCCTGTTCCTGCATCAGAACATGTGGTTTCACTGTGCCCTTCAGAACGTTTCAAAAACTCATACTTTGACTCTGAAGATTTTTTTTTTTTTTTTTTTTTTTTTTTTTTGCCAGCTCAGCCCATCCTGAGGGTGGGGCTGGCATAGCATGTGGTGCCAGCAATCGAACCACGGTCCCCTGTGCCTGCCTAGCCCCTGAAGATTTTTTTGTAGTCATTCCCTAGGTTGCCTTTCCAGGTCCTTTAATCTGTTTCTCCATACAGTCCACCATAATTTAAAGAGAGAAGCATGGTTCATGTACATCATTTTTGGTGCAGAGCCAAATCTTAGTGTTCCATATAGAGTAGTACATGTATTACTTAATTTTAATCTATACAGTAACCCTGTAAATGCATTATTATTTTCATTTTGCAGAAGAGAAAAATAAAGGAGGTTGTTTCTGGTCTCTTTCCAACACAGAAAACTTGTCTTTTCCCTGCTCACCAACGTTTCTCAAAGCTGAGTGTTTTGCTGATTACGCATTTCACCCATCTCTGCATTTTTCTACATTTCTTTGAGGCTGACATCAAATGGCATCTTTCCCCTGAAAATTCTGTTTTCTTTCGATTTAGAGTGATTCCATCTAAACTTCCACCAATCTTGTTTATATTCCATTTATGATACTGTCTTCTACCTTATCTCTTTCTTAAACTTTGAGCATCTGAAGACAGAATCTATATTCTACACATAGTTTATGATACCTAGACAAAGATAGATGGATAGATGCATAAGTAATGAATTTTCTGGTCGAATTGTTTTGCAGATCATCAAAAGCTAATGATGAGAACTTTCTGTTTTTCTGGATAATTCCTAAGTCTCAACCATGACAGTGAACCCTGTAACCTAATAAAGTCTTTTATGAAAGACACCACTATATCAGTTTCTCGAATGATGGAGAAACAACTTTAGGAAGTTTGGGTTACTTCTGAGTTTCTGCCCTAGATGTAGTGCTTTGCCTGCTTCGTTTCCCTTTTGTCTCCATCACCTGCTGCATAATTGACCTCAGTATGTGTTACATATGTGAATGACTGACTGACTGATCGTAATTATTCTCTAAATATTTCTTGATGAATTAATTTATTTCGGCAATGGAAAATGAATAATGCTTTCTTTTTTTGTTTTCATTAGGAATTTGAGTCTGTGGGGCATGAACACTAAGCTGTTCCATTCTGGGCTCTGCTAGCAAGACCCTGGAACAGAAGAACAATGGCCACAGCCGCCGCTTCGCAGCTGAACCTGGATGCCCTCCGGGAGGTCCTGGAATGCCCCATCTGTATGGAGTCCTTCACGGAAGAGCAGCTGCGGCCCAAACTCCTGCACTGTGGCCATACCATCTGCCGCCAGTGCCTGGAGAAGCTCCTGGCCAGTAGCATCAATGGGGTTCGATGCCCCTTTTGCAGCAAGATTACTCGCATAACAAGCCTCACGCAGCTGACAGACAACCTGACGGTGCTGAAGATCATTGACACAGCTGGGCTCAGTGAGGCGGTGGGCCTGCTCATGTGCCGGTCATGTGGGCGGCGGCTTCCCCGGCAGTTCTGCAGGAGCTGCGGTTTGGTGTTGTGCGAGCCCTGCCGGGAAGCAGAGCACCAGCCTCCCAGCCACAACACACTCGCTGTCAAAGAGGCTGCTGAGGAGCGGCGTCGGGACTTCGGAGAGAAGTTGACCCGTCTTCGGGAACTTATGGGGGAGCTGCAGCGGCGGAAGGTGGCTTTGGAAGGTGTCTCTAAGGACCTCCAAGCTAGATATAAAGCAGTTCTTCAGGAGTATGGGCATGAGGAACGCAGAGTCCAGGACGAGCTGGCTCGCTCTCGGAAGTTCTTCACGGGCTCCTTGGCTGAAGTCGAGAAGTGCAATAGTCAGGTGGTGGAGGAGCAGAGTTACCTGCTCAACATTGCCGAGGTGCAGGCTGTATCTCGCTGTGACTACTTTTTGGCCAAGATCAAGCAGGCCGATGTAGCACTGCTGGAGGAGACAGCAGATGAGGAGGAGCCAGAGCTCACTGCCAGCCTGCCCCGGGAACTCACGCTACAGGATGTGGAGCTTCTGAAGGTGGGTCATGTTGGCCCTCTGCAAATTGGGCAGGCTGTTAAGAAGCCTCGGACAGTTAACATGGAGGATTCGTGGGCCATAGAGGCGGCAGCTTCTGCTGCCTGTACTTCTGTTACTTTTAGAGAGATGGACATGAGCCCTGAGGAAGTAGTTGCCAGCCCTAGGGCTTCACCTGCCAAACAGAGGGGTTCTGAGGCGGCCTCTAATATCCAGCAGTGCCTCTTTCTCAAGAAAATGGGGGCGAAGGGCAGCACTCCAGGCATGTTTAACCTTCCAGTGAGTCTCTATGTGACCAGTCAAGGAGAAGTGCTGGTTGCTGACCGTGGCAACTACCGCATACAAGTCTTTACCCGCAAAGGCTTTTTGAAGGAGATCCGCCGCAGCCCCAGTGGCATTGATAGCTTTGTGCTGAGTTTCCTTGGGGCTGATTTGCCCAATCTCACTCCTCTGTCAGTGGCCATGAACTGCCAGGGACTGATTGGTGTGACTGACAGCTATGACAACTCCCTCAAGGTATATACCTTGGACGGCCACTGTGTGGCCTGTCACAGGAGCCAGCTGAGCAAACCATGGGGCATCACAGCCCTGCCATCTGGCCAGTTTGTGGTAACTGACGTGGAAGGTGGAAAGCTTTGGTGTTTCACTGTTGACCGAGGAGCAGGGGTGGTCAAGTACAGCTGTCTCTGCAGCGCTGTGCGTCCCAAGTTTGTCACCTGTGATGCTGAAGGCACTGTCTACTTCACCCAGGGTTTGGGCCTCAATCTGGAAAATCGGCAGAATGAGCACCATCTGGAGGGGGGTTTTTCCATTGGTTCTGTGGGCCCTGATGGGCAGCTTGGTCGCCAGATTAGCCACTTCTTCTCAGAGAACGAGGATTTCCGCTGCATTGCTGGCATGTGTGTGGATGCTCGAGGTGACCTCATCGTGGCTGACAGCAGTCGCAAGGAAATCCTCCATTTTCCTAAAGGCGGGGGCTACAGTGTCCTTATTCGAGAGGGCCTCACCTGTCCTGTGGGCATTGCCCTCACTCCAAAAGGGCAGCTGCTGGTCTTGGACTGTTGGGATCATTGCATCAAGATCTACAGTTACCATCTGAGAAGATATTCTACCCCTTAGATGAGAAGAAATACATTTTCATCTGTTTCCTACTCAACTTTCCTTCCCTTAGTTATTGATTATTGATGGTATCATAGAGTAGACTTGGCCTATGTCTTTTGATCCAGTTGGGTTGTCCTAGAATTTTAGAAGCTCTAGTTTTTATTGTTAGTCCCTTCTCCCTGTACCATCCCTAATAAATTTAGAGCTTTTATAGATGCATTACCCCAAATAGGACACCTGGTGGTATTAGCTGGTTTGATTAGAAATTAGTCACTTTCAAGGCTTTAGTAGAGCCACGTTAGCCCCTGTATTTGAAATTTGCCCCTGTAATGAATTCTTGTTGATTTTTTCCTTTTGGTTTTGAAGTCAATGTTGCTGGGTACATTGTTCCTTTAATATTATAATGTGCTTGATCTTGGAACTTGGTCTTTGACTCCAGTTGCATTCCATGTGCATGCTCCAGTTGGATCTGCCCAACCTTTCAGTAACGCTTCAGGCATCTACCCCTGCAGCATGATATCATTGGCTCATCACCTTTACCAATGTGAAAGTACATTTAAGTGCCACCAAGATACACAGTCCCTTTGGGAAGGAATCCCTTTTGGCTAGGGAATTGGTGCCATCTCAGATTAGTCTCTTAGTGCAGATGTGCTGGAGAATGGACTGCCTCTAGCTGGTTAGTGTTGAAGATGTCAGCGGGAGTTTGTTTGCCTTGTAAAGGAATGTGTGGATTGAAATTAAGCCACAGCACAAGATGATGGGAATAAGCAAATACAAGTGCTTAGATAGCCAGTAACTTAATAGTGTCTAGGACTCATTATTTTTCATACTGTTTCCACCAACCTGTAATAGAAGTTGTTTGAGGAATGGTAGGACATGGGCCATGGGCAGCAAGCTGGGGAGGTGGCCAGATCCATTTTCATTACAAAAACAAACTGTTGGGTAATGTGTTTTTTCCTCCAGTGTATGCATAATAATTGGCTTCAGAATTTATTACCGTGCTTCGCATTAAATAATTGATAATTGTTTCTCTATCAGTGGTGTTCACGTCTTTTAATTTAAAACAGGATTTGGGAGGCAAGGAGAGGGATAACGTGTGCGATGCGGTTTTGTTTACTTCTCTAACACTGCTCTTTGAAAGCATAAGGGTCTACGCAAGTTAAAATTCAACTCCAAGCACGATTATGCAGAGGTAATCCAGATCTTACTTCCACTGTGAAGAAAGAACGAGCCCCCAATTTTTGGAGTCATCCTGTTTAAAATTGAGCCTCTACCAAATGTGTATGCTTAATTCTTATAATTGCAGCTCAAAAAAGAAATCATTTTGCATGTTTAAGACTAGAAGTAAGAATCTGTGATGAGATTCCATAACTTGGGTGTTTAAAGCAGCGTTTCTTGCTTTTTAGGTGCAGAGATGATAGCAACGAAAAGCTCTTGTCCCTTATTTTCATAGAAACAAGATTTCTAAACTGAGCTCAAGTCATAATTATTTTTAGAACTAGCCGTGTTGCCTCCCCACCCCGATTCTGTCCTCATTAGTTGCCACAGGACAAGTAAAGAACGAAAGTGATGGGGAACTAGTTTGTCTTCTGCTTTTCACCTAAGAGAAGTTCTACGTTTTGGTTATGAAATGGCATCTGGTTTGCAAAGATTCTATAATTGAGAGGAGATGGACCCAGTAGTTATTAGAGCCATTCTGTCCGGTGGCATCCCGCAGCAGGACATCTGTCTTTGCTGTTGATGAGGCACTTGCTGAGGCAGTAATAACAGCCAGGCATTAGCCATGTAGTTTGCACCAGAGAAATGAATATGATATTGTGAGCTGGCCTGAGATAAACAAGGCCAGTGCTGGGAATCCTCCAGTAGCCTGTGCTTTGGGAAGGATGTGTGATTACTGATTGGCATTCAGCAACTGGATCTATCTCCTTTCTGCACCGCAGCAACACTCAAGTAAAACCGGCTAGTTTTACTTCTGTAGGCTTAAGTGTGGCCTACATATTTTTGTTTCTTTTTCCTCATTGATGTGAGTACTTTGGGCTTTGCCTAGTTCAGATGTCAGTTGTCTGCCATATTGACTGGAGAGTATGGTCCCAGGAAACTAATGTCCTCACAGTAGTTGTTTTGTTTTGATCTGATTTGCTTTAAAGCAGTAGACCTTTATTCAGCCCAAGTCTTGTGGCAAGTCTGTGACTTCAGAGAGACTAAAAGAACAATGGCTGTGGTTTAGACAGATTTGTAAGGCTGGAGAATGAGCTACTTCCTCTCGCTGCCACTTCTGTGCTGCCATTCCAGGCGCTTGGGAATCTGCCATCAGACTATACCAATCTCAATTTTTCAGTTAACATCTCTAGCCATATGGCCTTGGACAAATCACTTTATTCTGAAAAATGATCAAAATGACCCCTCAGATGTGTTTGAGAAATGATAGCTGCATTAACTTCTTTACTGAGCTCCTCAAACAAGTATTTTGGTGATGTGAGAGAGCACAGCATCAAACTATTCTTCCTGCCTGCCTTATTGCTGTACAGGTTTCTTTTTTTTTCTTTCTTTTTTTTTTTTTTTTTTTTTTTTTTTTTTTTTTTTTTTTTTTTTTTAGTGGAACCAGGGATTGAACTCAGCCCCTTGCGCTTGCCAAGGAAGCACTTATTCCACTGAGCCATCTCACTGACCCTTCTGTACAGGTTTCTATTGGCAACCAAAACACTTCTCAGGCATTTGCTTTAAGCATACATCTCTAAACAGATCCTTACCTATTCTGTTCTACTAGCTATTCATGTTTCTTATACTGTACTAATCACTGTATCAGTATTACTTTTCCCTGTTCAGTATCTGAGCTTCATTGGAGATCAGCTAATCTTTACCTATCAGCACATATAAAATGTGCCCAGTACAAAATATGTTGTCATTTACTTCATTGACTTAGTTATCTGCCGAACTTAGTAGTGACTCCCACAAGCAGAGGTTTCTTGGTGCAGCCTTCTTTTATTGGATAAAAAAGATTCTCCTGTCAGCCCCTTTAAAAACACTTAATAGCAAGCAGTTGACTTAGGTTGGGTAAGCTTGTGTCATTTTCAGTAGTTGTGTAAGGTTTAAAGTATTGGAGCAGTGATTAATGCCATTTTTAACTGAGCACCTGCTGCAGGCCAGGTACTTTGCCAAGTATTTAGAAAGTGTGTATATATTTTTCATAAATTTCCCCACTGTCTTAACCTAATGTACTTCAAACCCATGTTTTGTCATTTTTGCACCTCTTTAAAGGCCTGCATAGGTTGTGTCTGAATTACTGTGAAGTCTATCCCAATGTATGCTTTAATCTGTGATAGTCTGAAGAGAGGCAGTCCATTGTTCCAATCAGAATAAACTCAGCTTAAACTACACAGTATTTCTGAAAGACAAGCAGTGCTTTTTAATCTAGTGATTATTAATAGCACCTTAAAATGAAGTGCTGCTGAGCTCAGTAAGAGGAAAATGGAGAACAGCTACCATGAGACTCAGGTCTCTACGCTGTGTCTGACTAGGATGCTGATTTACACCCAGAATGTGCAGCCCCTCATGGGATCTCAAAACAAATTACAGATATGAAGCAGCATATGCTTGGATGAGTTTTGCAAGCAGGGCAGTGATAAGGTAGCCGTTTAGCAAAATGCACACTTATGACTCCAGACCCGCGGCTTCACCTCATCAATATCATTAATATTCATGGGACCTTGTCTTAAGTGTGAAGTTGGACAGCTCTGGGACTAGAGCGCATTCTACTGGGGAGATTCTACTTGGACCTAGAGTCAGACCTCTTGGTCTGAATTACAGCTCTGCCGCTTACCTAGATATAGGAACTCAGGCATCTCTCGAGTATCAGTTCCCTATCTATAAAACAAGGAAGTTAATTCCTAAAATTCCTGATAGCTCTATAATTTTTTTAACCAATGCAAAGTGTGAGTCCCCCCCCCCAGTCTTTTTGCATAATATTACTCCCTAGAATAGTGAAAACTTTGGAGTCAGCTCCACCATGGTGCAGTTGCTTCTCTATTCCAACTACTGTTACTTTGTCTCACTAGCAGTTATTTCTCTGCTAATCTATACTTTCTTCATCTGGTAAAAGGAAATGAAATTCGTTTTGCACATATATTTTACATTTCCATTTTGAAGGACTGACAGAATTAAACAGTAATAGCATAATATATGCAAAGTACTTAATTTTGAAACTGTGACTTCATCATGTAGGACAAAACCTGCCTTTCCCTTAATGGTGAGCTGATACACACTCATCAGGTAAATCCTTGGAAAAGATTTCAACTCCTGTATTGGTGACTCAACAACATATTCAGCCCTGGGGTTGACTTAAAAGCCTATTGGAAGAGGAGAGATTGCTGGGAGTGCCGAGGCAATACTCATTCGTGGAAAGCTAACACAAACCTCAAATCTAAGTTACTCAGCTATGTCAATTAAAGTGTCTTGACTATTTCTGAGCAGTAAATAGAATCAGGATTTTTTTTAAAGGTTATATGCAGGTACAGTAGATGTCGAAAAGATTTTTTCTACAGTAGATGTAGGAAAAATCTGTAGAAAAGTTTTAAAAGCTTAGAAGCATCCATATTTAACTTTTCTTGTAGATGGCTATTGTACAAGCATTTTTCCTCTACGTCAGCATTTATTAACTTACATTATAAAATAAGCCACAAATCTCACTGTTAGATGGGAAGGGAGTCCTGAGTTCGGTCCTCTTTGCCCCGCTTGTTATCTCTGTGACCATTACACCACTTTGCTTGTAGCCTCAGTATCCCCATTTGTAATGTAGTGATTCGGTTTCATGCCCTACTGCATTCTTATGAAAACATGATGGGCATAAAGCACTTAGCAGGATATTAGGAGGCATTTTATAAATTCCAGTAAATTAGGGCCGGCCAGATAGCTCACTGGATTAAAGTGCCTGCCAACAGGCACAGGGGCTGGGGATTTGATCCCCAGGCCTGCCAAGCCAGCCCTGTCTCCTGGGACACACTGAGATGGCAGTTGAGACTGGGTGTGGTGGCTCATGCCTGTAATCCCAGCTCTTGGGAGGCTGTAAACAGGCAAATCACTATGAGTCTAACCTAGTAGTGAGACCTGAACACCCTGTAGACCCTTCGCTAAAAATACAAAATAAATAAAAATAAATTACAATAAATTAAATATCTCTAAACTGCCCTCTTTTTGTGATACAGGAAAAACAACTGGCAAGGAGTCTGCCTCTATCCTTAAGGATAGAGGTCCCCTGAAAATTTAGTGGTCCCTTGAAATCTTGGTTGACAACATGAAGATTTTATGTACATTAAATGCATGTTTTTCTTTTCTAGGTAAAGTTAGGATTTTCTTCTGATAAGTATAACAACACTACATATTTTCAGAGTAAGATCTGAAATACTGTTACTCAGACATAAGATATCTGTTTATTAGCAATACTTAATGAGTAATGAATGTAAACAGTTAATTGAGTCACAGTCAGCTTGTCTGGCTGCAGAAATAAGATACGCAAATAATACAAATGCTCAGAATAAGAAGTGATAAATGCTGTGTCAAGAGTTTGAGCGAAGACTTTCTAGCTAAGAGGACCTGGTTGCTGAGAAACAATAATGTTTTCTCCACTGTGGTATATGGGTATAATAGCAATACTGGCATTTTGTTAAGTCCCGGTGGGCTGTCTGATTTTAGGTGTAAGCCACAGCATAACAGCCTTCTTCCACATGCGTGACAACCAACAATCCTGTATATTGCGCAGGGATCCGTACATTATACATGATATTAAAAGGAAGAATGTGAAATCGAGGGTCTGGAGGTCCATTTGTCATGACCCTTCCTAAAAATAATAATTCAAGTAGTTCTCTTCTTGTCCCAGGCCATGTCATTTCTATAAGCAACCATGGCTCATTAACGGGTTCATTCTTAAGTGTGGGTTAGTGTGGGTTAGAATCTACTTGGATATTTATTTATTTATTTATTTATTTATTTATTTTTGTGGAACCGGGGATTGATCTCAGGCCCTTAAAATCAG